TATACACATTAAAATTGTTACTCACTTTATTATGGAAACACTTTTCAAAGTAAAAACAATTTCTGCTAAAAAATAGCATAATGAAAAAAACGTTTAATTGTCTAATGCTATTAAACTAAACAACTGAGATATGACATTGGCAAGAATTTAACTGAAATACAGTAGTCAAATAAAAGTAGTCAAAATACAAGATTTCAACACTTAGCATGGAGAGGCTCAAATTATTATAATTATTTCACTACCTGTAGAATGAGGGTTATAAAAACTGCTGTCCTATAGTCACATATGCAGTTGACATTATGCCATTCCAAAACCACCACAACATTGCACACCAAGAACCAGGTTTTCCCTGAATGATTCATATGTGGAATGACCGACTGGTAGCTTTAGCACATTCCCACAGGTGTTGGCTAGAGGAAGCATGGACATTGAGATTTGATCTTGGTGATTGAATTCGATGGTAGGCCTTGGAAAAAAGCCAAGTGGTGGTTCATGATCACAACCAGTGGTGAAGATGAGGAGATCTTCTAAAGAGATAGCACATTCACCTTCTGAAATATACAATAAAGTGAGATTTGACAAGATTATTTTTTATTATTATATACACATTCTGGTGAATGATATACAACCCAGCTACGATTGACATACACCTATGGCCAAAGCTCTCGTAAATATACACATGCAATGACCTACAACATGTGTTCACCTTTTACAAATTAGGTCACTTTTTTAGATGAAGATGATATTTCGATCCCAAGAGGGCATATGTCGGACTGACTGAATTTCAATAATCTTTGCCATCATGTAATCACCCAAAGATTATTCATACCTTCTAGATCCTGTAGGAAGTCGTACCAGTATGACAAGAGCCGGTTTTCCACAGAAAATCTGTTGCTGCCAGTAGATGAGCGAGTGACCATCATCATCGCCTTTACAATGGATGCAGTTAAATGCCTGTTACTTTTAACAAACAGTGATCTGAACAGATCAGGATCAGCAGAGATCATCTGCATTACTCCTCCCATTCTGAGACCCTCTTGGAACCTAACAAAATTATCATAGACACAGAGTTTAGCCCTTAGATAAGAAATGTGTTTAAAAAGTAAAATATATGAACAGAGATGGAAAAACAGTACAACCAAGCAATTTTTTGAAAATTTACAAGTGACAATCTAAACAACCAAGCAATTATTTGAAAGTTTACAAATGATAATCTAAAAATTGTAAACTTACTGTTGAAGTGGAACCATGATGTTGTCAAGACAAAAATGCTTTAACAAGGTTCTGAGGATTCTTTCCTTGTCAGACATTGATCTTACAAGAGGAGAGCATCCAGCAACCTCAAGGAGGACAGCTGACTGGCTAACTTCCTCTAGGAGGCCACCAACATCATCTGCATCATTAAGCTGAAAGACACGCGTATAATAGCTTCTGATTTTATTCCACCAAATGCCAGAATTATAAAATAGAATCTGAAATACTCACACCTACCCTAGAGATTGCAATCTTTATTTCTTCACTACAAATGTGATCTAAAGTTGGCTCAAAGTCTACATTGTCAGATGTTAGAATGGAGTACATGTGTTCTGACATAAAATGGGGCCCTGGACCACCATGAAGAAGACTCAGTGAAATCATTTGCCCAGCATACTTGTACATCATCTCATCTTTTGCTGCAAAATAAATTGGTTACACTATACGTTCAAATTGATACAGATACAGGAATGTCAGCTTGTGGATGTTCCAGGATAAAACCCAAGGTACATGATACTCTTGTGCACTCAGTTATTTTTCATTGTAGCCAACATGGTGAAGTTTAAAACAGGACCTTATTGATATTATGATCAGCATGTCTCTACATGTACATTACCTTTCGAATTTAAACAAAGACTTTTGCTATCGTCTGGCCCAGACCATATAGACATTGCGGCTACAGCTTTCATTAAAAGGCGCAGGTATTCGCGTTTAGGGCCTCCCTCGTCAACAGCACCTTCAGCATCTGAACAGAGGTCACTTGTGAAGACAACTGATATCTGTTTAAGGGGATCAAACGACTTCCTTTGAATTGCCCTCAATGTCCCATCTAACACATCATCTCTGTTTATGTTAAAATTGCTGGTGCATTCTTGGGTGATCTGTGACGTCAGCGCTAACAAATGCTCCTCTAAGGTCTTCTGAGGGGAACTGTAGAAAACAACAAAATATAAAGTTTTTCATATTCTGCCCAATTTGAACACATGTCGCACCGAAAATATTACATCACTCACTTTACAGGCAATCTATATATTACATATACGTCGAAACCAAAGTGATTCATAGGAATGCTGTAATACTCTCACTATGACAGACATTTTCTATAGACAAGTAAAAGTTTAGTGCAGTGGCCAGTTTCAGTGAGGCAGACACTACATGGTAGCATCTTGTAATGCTGCAAATTTATAATTCGACAGTGTATCTATAGAAATAGGATTACTACACTTTAAAGATGACATGTAGGGACAGAGATGACATTAACTTTAAAATAGTCTATAGGTGCAAGTCGCTTGAGAAAACCAGAAACTCTTTCTGTGTCTTTGCAATATTTCGATCATCATAACCCATAAACCCTCAACTGCGTTTTTGGCTATTATTTTTTACCTGGAGGTATCTTGAAAACTTGCTTCAATTGCCGCATTGAGTTCATCATCCTCACTGTCTGAGGCAAAGGATTCACTGAAATGTAACAAAAATAAAATGTTAATATAAACTGATATTCTGTGACATGAAAGGTAGTGACATGATAGTATGGTTAAAATTCTGTACCGATTCTGTAAATCAGGCAATATTTCCAGTTCAAGTTCGTCGGCCACATCTCTCAGAACCACTGATCTGTATGACGGTTCGGGTAGTTCATCACTATCCGATTCATGGATGGTGATGGAAGATTGCTGAAATGAGGCAGATTTGCTCAACCTTATTAGCGTATCAATTATACACAATGAGTACTCCTGCTCTATTCTATTATAACGAAATAAACAACATTTTAGTTATAATCACCTGGTCGAGTGAGATGGCACTGCCAGGTTTGACATATACAACACGCTTATTGCCACATGCCATAAACAAGAACTGGCCATCAAACTCCTGTTCAGAGGTGAGCCCAGGGGGTGAAACCTTATTCCCGTAGCCCAACATCAATTGCACACTGTAAGAATAAATAAAAAAGACCTATAAGTACCATGGGAGGTTAAAAGTTTATCAAGACAAAATGTTGATATCATTAAAATAGTTTCAGGCATTAGCTATATGTAATGTATATCTATTGATAATTCTATAATGTATACTGAATGTTAGGCATACTATACCTTGCACCTCTCAGTTTTTCAGCAAAAGCTCTCTTTATTGCTGACTCCAGTTCAGAGGCAGTCCAACTCTTGTGGAAGCAAAAAGCTGAGAGGACCATGTTGTTCTTCATCAGCTCTTGCTTTTGACGCTGCTTAGGAATGCTGTCCTCTGTAGGCCCTTGTAGCAAAATTAGTTCTTTGTAGAAGGTTGGAACCCTGAAAAATTATTGATAACAATGGGAACTACTGTTGTGAAAGGAAGATCATAGGAGGAGTGAAGTCTAGAGCAATATATCTGATATTGTTCTCAGGCAATATTGGTGTGAAATGCTGATGATAATTGTTCATTATTATTGTGGGTCAAATAAACTGAATATTTTCAATGCCGTGGCTATTGTTACACCAGTCGTAACCTGAACCTGTAGGCTATTTTTACACCATTTCCACATTTACACTTCAAATACGCACACATGCGCAACTGGAAATGGTGTAAAAATAGCCTACAGAGTCAGGTTACAAATGGTGTAACAATAGCCACTAATCTATGTATTTTCAAAAGCTGATATCTGCATAGACTGGCATCCTATCCAGATGCATCCTATCCTGTACTTTTAAAATGCCCACGCCCATAGCTGCCGGGATAAGCTCCGGTTAACCGCGACCCTGTACATAGGATATACGCGGTGCCCGACTATAAGTCGGACATGAAAATGAATGAATGATATAAGGGTCTGGAACATATTTACTTTTTGGTTTGGTATCCTCCTAAACTCCCATCTTTATTATTTCTCTTCCGCTTTCTGATGAAGCTACACCCAGCCAGGGGATGGAATTGTCTTGGCAGCTGTGGCTGTAAAGTGTAAGTATTAATTGAGAACAATCGAATTCAGACAATAATATGCTTACGACAGTCTACAGACGACGGATGGACAACGTGATGACTAGTCTATACCCCTACTTTTAAAAAATCGTCAGGACAAAAAGACTTACCACTTCACTGGTTTCATGATGATGAGCCAGTCCTCCTCTCGAAGAAGTAGACGGACATGTCACGCTTGGCCTTGGTGTAATGTTTGATGTCGGACGGAAAATCCTGCTAACTTCCTCATGAACTCCTTCATGTGGGGGCCTAGTCGACCTATTATGGACGCCTAGTGCGTCGCTCAATGAATTTCTAAGAGGTTGACTTTCAACTAAACGTTGGACAACATTTAGCACATCGCTTACACTGACATATCCGTCCAAGTTATCCATTCTTCTTCTTGTTCCCACGCAATAGCAACGTAACGTAGCAACGTAACACAACATTCGGAGCGCCACCTATCGATACATTTAGGTATGATTCTCAGTAGTGAAAATGAAAAATCTCAGTAGTGAAAATGAAAAATCTCAGTAGTGAAAATGAAAAATCTCAGTAGTGAAAATGAAAACTCAATAGTTTTTCGTTCAAATGTGTAAGCTGGAACTATGAATAATTAGAAAGCTTCAAAACTTAAGGTAATCATACTACGTGTCAGTTTTTTTTTTGAAGATTTTTATCATACCATAACATGTGCTATAAAACTTCTGTAAACTTTTTGTAAATAACCGTAGCATTTTTGAAAACACTGAATCAATAAAAGCGCATATGCCGTTTAATGACAATAATATCAATTGA